TTCTTACACACAAAGAGAAGGATACATGCACAATAGTAGAGTAGTACATGCACAGTATATATTGTGCATGTACTAGTCTACTAAATGAAGAATAAATGACACTTACCTTTATTGAAGATGCAGCAATGACTGATGAGACACTGTGTCCTGGGAGTGCCTTTTCCTCCTGAGTACTGTAGGTCCTGTTTGGCATTTTCTTCCAGAACAGGCCTTATCACACTGTGTATGTCACTACGATTCTTAAATCTCTCAAACCAACCTTTGCTGGCTTTAAATTCACCAATATGAGCACTAGTTCCAGGCATTTTTCCCTGTTCACCTGGGTGTTAGTCGACTGGTGTGGGTTGCATCCTGGGAGACAAGATTAAGGACCCCAATGGAAATAAGTTAGACAGTCTTCGATGACACTGACTTTTTTGGGTTATCCTGGGTGGAAAATCCTCTGGGGTTAATTGTTTCTTGGTATATTCTCAATAAGCCACACCAACAACAGTGCTACAGCAGCAGCAGACGATGCTACAGCAGCAGCAGACGATGCTACAGCAGCAGCAGACGGTGCTACAGCAGCAGCAGATGATGCTACAGCAGCAGCAGCAGCAGACGATGCTGCAGCAGCAGCAGACGATGCTACAGCAGCAGCAGACGATGCTACAGCAGCAGCAGACGATGCTACAGCAGCAGCAGCAGCAGCTGACAGTGCAGCAGCAGCAGCAGCTGAAAGTGCAGCAGCAGCAGCAGCTGTACCACCAATAGTAGCGATGGTTGATTGGGGTTCATTATACAACCTGGCCAGCTCGGAGACACGCACTCCACTTTCATACTTATCAATGATCTTTTTCTTCATCTCTATAGTAATTCTCACCCTTATTGCTGTAGGGTTGGCACTAGAAGCTTTCTTGGGGCCCATGGTCACTTATTTTCCAGAAAAAATCACCAAAAACACTGTAATAATACGAAATGTTACAATTGTATGCTTGGATGCTACCGCGGAGGCTGGCTGATAAAGAATGCCACCGGCGGAACATGTGAGGCTGGCTAAGGCGCACATTGGACGCGTCTCGGACGAACAGCGGTGAACGGGTTTTTGACCGGTATGCGAGGCAAAATTTTTGCGATTGAAGTGAGCGGTATGCGGGATAAACGGTATGTGATGCCAATGGTATGCGGGGGTCCACTGTATTGTGTTTGCCATGGTGTAATCGAAGTATCTGTTGCTTTCTCTGACAATAATTTCCATCAGGGGTTTGTCAAAGAATAACTCAAAACATTCCAGTTCACTGGCATTGTTCCCCGGTGTACAAGATGGCTGTATTCCACTTTGGCTTTCATCAAACTGGTGGGGATTTGGAGCAAAATTGGCAGCTTCCTGCCCATCCCAGGTGCGGTCTGCTGGTGGGTACTGGACATTGACAAGTGGTTGTGGTTGTGGAGTTTGTGGTTGTGGAGGTTGTGGTTGTTGAGGCTGGTGTGGTGGGCGGGTGGGGGATGGTGGCCTTTGTTGTAGATCAGCTAAAGCAGCGGCATGGGTGGCAGCGTGGGTGGCAGCATGGCCCACTGCTGGTGCCTCACGGCCGGCACCACCACTACCATCACCATGCACATTTTCCATCCCAATTGCAACGCTATCATCTTCATTTTCACCATCTGTTCCTTTTGTACAGCCATGGGATGTACTCTGAGATGTACTCCTTCCCCTTGGAATAGCATATGGCACACTACCAGAGCGCATGTATTGTCATATATACAGTGGACCCCCGCTTAACGATATTAATCCGTTCCTGAGAGCTCATTGTTATGCGAAATTATCATTATGCGAATGAATTTTCCCCATAAGAAATAATAGAAATCAAATTAATCCGTGCAAGACACCCAAAAGTATGAAAAAATTTTTTTTACCACATGAAATATACATTTTCCTACACACAAAGAGAAGGATACATGCACAATAGTAGAGTAGTACATGCACAATATATATTGTGCATGTACTACTCTACTAAATGAAGAATAAATGACACTTACCTTTATTGAAGATGCAGCAATGACTGATGAGACACTGTGTCCTGGGAGTGCCTTTTCCTCCTGAGTACTGTAGGTCTTGTTTGGCATTTTCTTCCAGAACAGGCCTTATCACACTGTGTATGCCACTACGATTCTTAAATCTCTCAAACCAACCTTTGCTGGCTTTAAATTCACCAATATGAGCACTAGTTCCAGGCATTTTTCCCTGTTCACCTGGGTGTTAGTCGACTGGTGTGGGTTGAATCCTGGGAGACAAGATTAAGGACCCCAATGGAAATAAGTTAGACAGTCTTCGATGACACTGACTTTTTTGGGTTATCCTGGGTGGCTAACCCTCTGGGGTTAATTGTTTCTTGGTATTCTCAATAAGCCACACCAACAACGGTGCTACAGCTACAGCAGCAGCAGCTGACAGTGCTACAGCAGCAGCTGACAGTGCTACAGCAGCAGCAGACGGTGCTACAGCAGCAACAGACGGTACTACAGCAGCAGCAGCTGATGGTGGTACAGCAGCAGCAGCAGCAGACGGTGCTACGGCAGCAGCAGACGGTACTACAGCAGCAGCAGCAGCTGACGGTGGTACAGCAGCAGCAGCAGCTGACGGTGCTACAGCAGCAGCAGCAGCTGACAGTGCTGCAGCAGCAGCTGACAGTGCAGCAGCAGCAGCTGACGGTGCTACAGCAGCAGCTGACAGTGTTACAGCAGCAGCAGACGGTGCTACAGCAGCAGCAGACGGTGCTACAGCAGCAGCAGCTGACAGTGGTACAGCAGCAGCAGCAGCTGACGGTGCTACAGCAGCAGCAGCAGCTGACGGTGCTACAGCAGCAGCAGCAGCTAACGGTGCTACAGCAGCAGCAGCAGCTGATGGTGCTACAGCAGCAGCAGCAGCTGACGGTGCTACAGCAGCAGCAGCTGACGGTGCTACAGCAGCAGCAGCATCAGCAGTTGACCATGGTACCACAGTATTTCGATAATATTTCTCACCCATTTTACCACAGGGTTGGCACTAGAAGCTTTCTTGGGGCCCATGGTCACTTATTTTACAGATAAAATCACCAAAAACGCTGTAATAATACGAAATGTTCCGATTGTATGCTTGGATGTTACCGCGGAGGCTGGCTTGTAAACAATGCCACTGGCGGAACATGTGAGGCTGGCTCAGGCCGCACATTAGACGCGTCTCGGACGAATAGCGTTGAGCGGGTTTTTTAGCGGTATGCGAGACAAAATCTTAGCGATAAAATGTATCGGTATGAGGATTTAACATTATGTGATGCCAACGGTATGCGGGGGTCCACTGTACTGATGCTTCACTGGAAAATATTCCACTTCACTTTCGCTACTGGAAGTGTTTTCAAGAGCTTGTAGTTCATATTCACTATCATTATCATCACCAATGCTCACATCTGAGTCCAGAATATGGGAAAATAGGAGTTTCCTCTTTCGTTCTGGTACAACTGAATGTGAACAAGATGGCCCAGTAGCAGAGGTGGAAGGCTGAGGGTCTTCTGGGTTTTCCTCACTATTACCAATATTATGGTCATTAGTTTCAGTCACAACTTTATCAAACCTTGAAACTCATCTTCACTGGCACTTACATCTGTATTAAAACTGTCACTGGGGAACAAAAGTGTCCCAGTTCGTCGAGGAGTGAGGAGTTTCTTACCACGAGGGATGGTGAACAAGGTCTACTAAAATGGCGTTCCCACAATGCGTCACTGGGTCCCAGATTTTTTTTCTACCACGCACACCGACCACACACACCCATTCTCTCACATCTAGGCCTACCAGCCTTTTCCTGCAAGATTTGAAGGCGCTAGAATTTATGTGCACTAGTACGTCAATAACCTTGGCACGTAAGCCATACTCGTACGTCGGAAACCCTGAAAGGGTTAATCACAGCAGGTCATCAAACTGCCACTCCCTCAAAGCCCACTCCCTACCACTCACAAAAAGCTAGCCCTGACATTAAATTAATAATTATGATATTAAACATTAATGCCAATAATGGTAAATTATAAAATAGTGTGGATTGTATATAATTAGGCTTGCTGGATACACAATATTAAACATTAATGCCAATAATGGTAAATTATAAAATAGTGTGGATTGTATATGATTAGGCTTGCTGGATACACAAAAAAATTTTGTATTACCATTTACTATTTATCACAGGAAGACACTTAATGCTGATGAAACACACCCTAACCTTACCCTAGCAACTTGAATTTACGATGGCCAATACAAAAACTACTGTGCATTATGGGTAAGCGTCACTTAGCTGAGGTGTGCTCCTGGGAGAATTGGTGTCCTCTATTTTTCCATCCTGGTTACCAGATAGTAAGGGTTTTCCACTATATATCCCAATTCTTCAGCGGGAATGTGTCAGCAAATTCTGAATTACGGATTGAGGCTGATATACACCAATTGACCCTCAAGAACGCCTGATTACATTACACAATTCAGTCCAGTGTTCACACATTAAATTCAATATGGCGTCTTCCTCTACGGTGTCACCCCCAGCTCTTCTGCCTCCCGCCCCCACTCGAAATTTCTCGAAGGGTTCAAATAGCATCACAGTTTAATACACAATTATTATATTATTCATTTATATGTTCTACATTTAGGAAATTATGTAAAAAATTTCCATTCTTAGTACCCATGGATTTGTTGAACAGATTAGGAGTATACTTTTAAATGTTCTTAGCAAACTAGTAGGATGTAAATAATGCTAAATGTAAGGTGACCTGATATTCTGCAATCAGAGACTCATAGTGAACTTGTACAGCACGGAAATTTCTTTTAATTTGCCAACTGAACTTTTTCAGTAAGCAATAAAAGAAAGACAAATTTATCCTGGATTTAAATCTTCCTTTCATATAGAGGAATTTGATTTCATTTAACCTCTTTCTCTTTATATTCATGAAGTTTGACATCTGTTACTGATATCCTGTATGTGTGTGTGTGTATGATGCTTTCAGTACCAAGCATCATGGAGGCAGCACTGGAGTGGTACTCACGACAGGGACTGCGGGTACTAGCTGTGGCAAGCAAGTATCTGGGAGATGCTCTTAACTACCACCAGGTACTCTATACTTTACTGCCATCACTTTATTTACAAAACACTGGAACCATTTGGTTATTCAGTGCTCTAAACATATTCCATTTCTGACATTATTGAATTTACACCCTCATTATTAACTAGGCATTGTCATAACAAGGTCACTCTCACATAACATAAATCCCATTCAGAGTCTGTTGTTCATATTTCACAGTCCATATTTGTAATTTATGATGTGTTATTGGCCATACAGTAAGGTCTGTAAATTTTGATGGAAGGGAACATCTCCCTACTATTTATGCTGACGGAAATGCTGGGTTTCAGTCAGGCATTTAAAGATTATGGCCTCAAATGTCTTAAGTGTACATCTCTATTTTTGTGTGTTATAGTACTTAGTTTACATGTCTTTAGTGATCTTAGTACAGTGAGAGTGTTACTCAAGCAAACACTGATTCCAATGAGATAACATTAAAGATCCTGTTGTGATCCGCATCACAGTTTCAGGTATCACTGAGTGATTAACTTCTATTGTTATTGTATCCTCGAAGGGAAACCCTTTAAACTAATAATGCATCAACAAAATGTATTATGTGGGGAATTTTTGTTTTTGTTTTTGTTTTTGTTTTTTGCACAAACATAACCACCATAGGGCTTATAATGTTACATCAGTGTAAAACTACGTACATATGGATAATATTTTCCCATAGTTTTTTAAGAAATAAGAATAAGAAGAAGAAAATTGTCAAAGTGGGAAGTCTGAATGTGCGTGGGTGTTGTGCAAATGATAAGAAAGAGATGATTGTGGATGTTATGAATGAGAAGAAACTGGATGTCCTGGCTTTAAGTGAAACAAAGCTGAAGGGGGTGGGAGAGTTTCAATGGAGAGGAATAAATGGGATTAGGTCAGGGGTTTCAAATAGAGTTAGAGCTAAAGAAGGAGTAGCAATAATGTTGAAGGATAAGCTATGGCAGGAAAAGAGGGACTACAAATGTATAAATTCAAGGATTATGTGGAGTAAAATAAAGATTGGATGTGAAAAGTGGGTTATAGTAAGTGTGTTTGCACCTGGAGAAGAGAGAAGTGTAGAGGAGAGAGAGAGATTCTGGGAAATGTTGAGTGAATGCGTGGGGAGTTTTGAATCAAGTGTGAGAGTAATGGTGGTTGGGGATTTCAATGCTAAAGTGGGTAAAAATGTTATGGAGGGAGTAGTAGGTAATTTTGGGGTGCCAGGGGTAAATGTAAATGGGGAGCCTTTAATTGAGCTATGTGTAGAAAGAAATTTGGTAATAAGTAATACATATTTTATGAAAAAGAGGATAAATAAATATACAAGGTATGATGTAGCACGTAATGAAAGTAGTTTGTTAGATTATGTATTGGTGGATAAAAGGTTGATGGGTAGGCTCCAGGATGTACATGTTTATAGAGGGGCAACTGATATATCGGATCATTATTTAGTTGTAGCTACAGTTAGAGTAAGAGGTAGATGGGAAAAGAGGAAGGTGGCAACAACAAGTAAGAGGGAGGTGAAAGTGTATAAACTAAGGGAGGAGGAAGTTCGGGCGAGATATAAGCGACTATTGGCAGAAAGGTGGGCTAGTGCAAAGATGAGTAGTGGGGGGGTTGAAAAGGGTTGGAATAGTTTTAAAAATGCAGTATTAGAATGTGGGGCAGAAGTTTGTGGTTATAGGAGGGTGGGGGCAGGAGGAAAGAGGAGTGATTGGTGGAATGATGAAGTAAAGGGTGTGATAAAAGAGAAAAAGGTAACTTACGAGAGGTTTTTACAAAGCAGAAGTGTAATAAGAAGAGCAGAGTATATGGAGAGTAAAAGAAAGGTGAAGAGAGTGGTGAGAGAGTGCAAAAGGAGAGCAGATGAAAGAGTGGGAGAGGCACTGTCAAGAAATTTTAATGAAAATAAGAAAAAATTTTGGAGTGAGTTAAACAAGTTAAGAAAGCCTAGGGAAAGTATGGATTTGTCAGTTAAAAACAGAGTAGGGGAGTTAGATGGGGAGAGGGAGGTATTAGGTAGATGGCGAGAATATTTTGAGGAACTTTTAAATGTTAAGGAAGAAAGGGAGGCGGTAATTTCATGCACTGGCCAGGGAGGTATACCATCTTTTAGGAGTGAAGAAGAGCAGAATGTAAGTGTGGTGGAGGTACGTGAGGCATTACGTAGAATGAAAGGGGGTAAAGCAGCTGGAACTGATGGGATCATGACAGAAATGTTAAAAGCAGGGGGGGATATAGTGTTGGAGTGGTTGGTACTTTTGTTTAATAAATGTATGAAAGACGGGAAGGTACCTAGGGATTGGTGGAGAGCATGTATAGTCCCTTTATATAAAGGGAAAGGGGACAAAAGAGATTGTAAAAATTATAGAGGAATAAGTTTACTGAGTATACCAGGAAAAGTATACGGTAGGGTTATAATTGAAAGAATTAGAGGTAAGACAGAATGTAGAATTGCGGACGAGCAAGGAGGTTTCAGAGTGGGTAGGGGATGTGTAGATCAAGTGTTTACATTGAAGCATATATGTGAACAGTATTTAGATAAAGGTAGGGAAGTTTTTATTGCATTTATGGATTTAGAAAAGGCATATGATAGAGTGGATAGAGGAGCAATGTGGCAGATGTTGCAAGTATATGGAATAGGTGGTAAGTTACTAAATGCTGTAAAGAGCTTTTATGAGGATAGTGAGGCTCAGGTTAGGGTGTGTAGAAGAGAGGGAGAATACTTCCCGGTAAAAGTAGGTCTTAGACAGGGATGTGTAATGTCACCATGGTTGTTTAATATATTTATAGATGGGGTTGTAAAAGAAGTAAATGCTAGGGTGTTTGGGAGAGGGGTGGGATTAAATTATGGGGAATCAAATTCAAAATGGGAATTGACACAGTTGCTTTTTGCTGATGATACTGTGCTTATGGGAGATTCTAAAGAAAAATTGCAAAGGTTAGTGGATGAGTTTGAGAATGTGTGTAAAGGTAGAAAGTTGAAAGTGAACATAGAAAAGAGTAAGGTGATGAGGGTATCAAATGATTTAGATAAAGAAAAATTGGATATCAAATTGGGGAGGAGGAGTATGGAAGAAGTGAATGTTTTCAGATACTTGGGAGTTGACGTGTCGGCGGATGGATTTATGAAGGATGAGGTTAATCATAGAATTGATGAGGGAAAAAAGGTGAGTGGTGCGTTGAGGTATATGTGGAGTCAAAAAACGTTATCTATGGAGGTAAAGAAGGGAATGTATGAAAGTATAGTAGTACCAACACTCTTATATGGATGTGAAGCTTGGGTGGTAAATGCAGCAGCGAGGAGACGGTTGGAGGCAGTGGAGATGTCCTGTCTAAGGGCAATGTGTGGTGTAAATATTATGCAGAAAATTCGGAGTGTGGAAATTAGGAGAAGGTGTGGAGTTAATAAAAGCATTAGTCAGAGGGCAGAAGAGGGGTTGTTGAGGTGGTTTGGTCATTTAGAGAGAATGGATCAAAGTAGAATGACATGGAAAGCATATAAATCTATAGGGGAAGGAAAGAGGGTAGGGGTCGTCCTCGAAAGGGTTGGAAAGAGGGGGTAAAGGAGGTTTTGTGGGTGAGGGGCTTGGACTTCCAGCAAGCGTGCATGAGCGTGTTAGATAGGAGTGAATGGAGACGAATGATACTTGGGACCTGACGATCTGTTGGAGTGTGAGCAGGGTAATATTTAGTGAAGGGATTCAGGGAAACCGGTTATTTTCATATAGTCGGACTTGAGTCCTGGAAATGGGAAGTACAATGCCTGCACTTTAAAGGAGGGGTTTGGGATATTGGCAGTTTGGAGGGATATGTTGTGTATCTCTATACGTATATGCTTCTAAACTGTTATATTCTGAGCACCTCTGCAAAAGCAGTGATAATGTGTGAGTGTGGTGAAAGTGTTGAATGATGATGAAAGTATTTTCTTTTTGGGGATTTTCTTTCTTTTTTTGGGTCACCCTGCCTCGGTGGGAGACGACCGACTTGTTGAAAAAAAAAAAAAAAAAAAGAATAACTTAAAATTAGGAATTAGATTAAGAAATAAGAATAACTTAAAATTAGGAATTAGAAATTAGGATATACTCATATTGGCTGATACATTGGCACAATATAAAATGGCCCATTGCATATCCCATATTTCTTTGCTATTATGTACCTCTGTAATATTTTTTTTACTGTGGCCCACAGGGTACTTATGTGGTACATAATAAAACTATTAACCTAATCTACCAGTATAATCATTTACAATATGTGAACCTCGCTACTGATATTTCATTTTCTGAGGCAGTAGGGCGACTGCTCCAACTTTGAAATTGTTTGTATATTTTTCTCAGTGAGTAGATATTGCAGCATTAGCGAGGCTCTTCATTTCTCACTCAAACCATTTATAAAGTGTTCAGTAATCATTGGCAAGTAACCATTTCAACTTGATGTTTATTTTGTTTTTTCTAGCACAAACTCCTGACAGTATAACATTTCTCTCATTCATTGAGCTAATGTAGACATTTGTTATCACTTGAGTCTAGGCTCCACAAAAATTAGTCATAGCCTACAGCTAAATCTTAGGTCTAAACTGATTGCATTTCCTACATTTTAGTTGGTAATTTTCCCACATCCAAGTGACAGAAACTTTTAGCAGCAGGTTGCTGGCCCTCGGGATGTGCTGGAGATGGGGTCTACCTTCCTGGGTCTGGTGCTGCTCCATAATAAACTCAAGGTGGAGACAGCTCCTGTCCTGGCAACCCTTCACAAGGCTGCTATCACCACTGTAATGGTTACAGGTCAGTTGCTGAGAGGTTTTCTTTCCATGGAGCTCAAGCTACCTTCCTTTTCCTACAATACTGTTGTATAACTCTTAAGAGTTTAGCGCTTCCTTATACAGTATTATAACAGTGAAACTTTGGTGTAAAGGACTAATAAGGGAAGGTGTGTGTAATTAAATGAGAATCTATCACAGAGAGCTTGATTCAACAGACTAGGTCTACTGCTTCCATGAAATGACTGCCCTTAATAAGAAAAAACTGTAATATAGTACAGTACAGTACAGTGAGTTGCCTGAAAATAAAAAGTAAAAATACAGTTCAATATTATAACAATAAAGGAACAAAAATTTTGGGGGAAAAATTAGAGATCAAATGACAATAGGCTGTGAGGAGGTGTTGAGACAATAATACACGGTGAAAACAGAGGTGTTCTGGACATAACTTGTACAAGACAAGCCTGTGATACAGTGGACCAAGTTCGATGCATCAAAGGTGCTACTGGACAACTCCCGTATGGATAAATGTGTGATGCAGCAAACTTGGTCTGCAGTGTCAATGATCACACCAGACGCCTCCGTACAACAGACTCCCAGAGGCTTGTCCATCCAAAATTTTTAGTCTGTTCCATATATCCAAAATTCTTTGCATACAGGCCCCTCATACCGAGGGTTTACTGCTCTATTATTAGCATCTAATAAATAATTTTATACTAGTAAATAGAACCGGTATCACAATGTTATCATAAAATATTTGTGGAAATTTTATTGGCTAGCAGAACACAGGTAGTGCTGTATTAGTGTTCTTGTACTCGAGTGGTAGGTCACTGGCAATCCTGCAGGGTTTCTAATCTAGGAAAATGTTTCTTCCAGGAAAAATATTATGTGACATTACATGGGACTGAGATTGGATTAATTATTAATCTCTTGATCTTTTACTTGTAGAAGAAATTAATCATAGTGGAAGACAGGCACCCTAAAGAATATAAACTGCAAAAAGATCATCGAACTCTGAATATATATAGTGAAATGTTCAAACAGCCGAACACGTCTTTCATAGCATAAATTATCATTATGAAGGTCTTCATCAGGAGACAACTTGTTGACGGCACTGAGTGTGGCTCGTCAGAGCGAGATGGTACCTATCAGCCATCAGGTCATAGTTGTTAAGGCAACCATGGAAGCTACCTCGACTAAGGCTGCTCAGCACCTCAAGGTCATCTTTTATGATGCTGATTATAATGGTGGACTATATAACCAGGTGAGACTAAGAACATTTAGTTTTTTTCAAACTTTTAATTTTTTTTTTAACTGCTATTCATTATCAGTTCAGGCTCCAGCTGGGTTACAAGTATCTTTGATGTAGATGTAGACCAAACAAAATGTAAACTTTGCCTGATGGACTACTGTCACACCTTGCGTCATTATGTACTGGAATGTGATAAAATTAATGAATTCAGAGACAACTCACTCAGAAATGTTCAAGACATGCCAAAGTATTTTATTCACAGTGGTATATTACAAACCATTCTGGAAAAATACCCTGACTTTGCTCACTGTAAATAAAGCATTACCACAAATTTCTGCAAAATTCATTATGACTGTGACCAGATATAAACATGTATGTAAATAGTTCATTACCATCGTAACTTGTTCAGCTATTAAAACTTTGCGACCCAGTCCCTGGACCCATTATGTACCCTTGTAATCTTTTGACTACCACCCAAAGGATGGGTATGGAGTGCATAATAAAGATATTAACCAAACTTTAGTTGACTGTAGTGGTCAACATACAGGGTAAATTCAAATTCATATTCAAAAATTTATTTCTTTGCATAGTATACAGTGTAATTTACATGTAGTAAAATAATGTTAAGCACAAAGAAAACCACTAGGTTGCATGAAAATAGTGTCTTTATTGGGTTATCCTGGGTTACTTCTTCTGTGTCTCTGGATAAAAAACTCTTCAGACAGCAAAAAGGCACAGTAAAAGATAATTCTGCAGCTGCATGATCCTTACTGGCTTAGCGCTTTCTCATGACTGTAATAGCAATAATTTGAAAAATGCATTTTCTTCGTCTTGAAAAATCTGTTGCATTATACATGTGTTGTTTTTATAAACATATACCAACTTTTTATTGTTTGTTTTAGAGAAAAATGATCTCTCTGAGAAATGATAACTATGTGCTGGCTACAGAGGGAGAGTCATTTGACTTGATCGCAAATAGTCAAGACAAGGATCTCTTCCAGCGGCTGCTTCACAAGGGTCGAGTCTTCGCCAGGATGAAACCTGAGCAGAAGATCACTGTCGTGGAGGCACTTCAGGATCTTGGGTATCAAATTCTTCTTTCATTGTTTTACTTTTCATAATGTGTTATCCTTTTATATTTGTGCTTCTTAAGCTGGGCAGTGCTGCCCCAGCATCAGCATATTTAAAATTCAGAGACTATAAAAAAAATCAATGTTGAAGGTTTATCACACATTCCAGCAGTAGGTTGGAGTCCTGGGTTAAAAAAAAAAATTGGGGGGGGGGGGGGGGGAAAAGAGCCATTAACTTGAGTGTCTTTTGTGGAAATCTTCAGCATTAGTAAGTATATATCAGTCTAGATCAGTGGTTCTCAAACTTTTTCAGGCTGCCACCACCTTGGCTTCCGGGCCACATCCAATGTGCCTCCCCCCCACCCCCACATATGAACACATCTTTCCTGGTATTCGGTTTACTACAAATTCAAAACAAGAACTAATTTTACATTTAAACAAGCGTATTTATTTTACAAATAAAAATTAACACAAACCAATTTTTTTACAATATGAAAGGGTAAATTTACATCTCATCTGTAACTATATGAGATGGATGTGCTTGGTGCAGGAACATCAGCTTCTCAACATCAGGCTTGAAGGCACTAAAAAGTCTTAGATCCTCACATTCACTAATTTTCAGTCTTGTGTCTTTGTTTGGAGAGAAGCTTGGTGACTGTACTAAAGCCTCGCTCTACTAAACATGGTGTTGGGAAGGCAATAAAGTACATCTTGACTTTGTTCCACAGTGCAGAGTAGCGGTCATTTTTTTTTTTTTTTTTTTTTTTTTTTTTTTTTTTTTTTTTTTTTTTGTAACCAAAATTCTTAATATGATTTTTTAAACTTTGGTCTCAGCTCAGTGTCATTTTGGAGTGAAATTGGTTCTTCCTCCATCATTCCTGTTTCCTCTTTGCTGATATCTAGGAATGGATTGATCACCTAGTCTGGTATTTTAAGCAGAAAAAAAAAAACTGAAATCTGTCAGACATCTGTAAACATGTCTCTATGCAGCTCATTCATGTGTACACAATACACTTAAAGGTCATCGTCTGGTATGCTCTTCTTCTCCAGTTCAGAGAGCCTGGGAAACTGGAAGAGCTCATGATGGGCTATGTTACGTTTGAATAACTGTAACCTAGACAGAAGAGTGGAAAGGGCTGATTTGACTTTGATAAGATTAACCTCATTTCTTTGCAGTTGCAAATTAACTTCGTTGAACTTTGTGAATGCATCTGACAAATAAGCAGTGTCATGCTTGATGTTTCTTAGTTCATCACATAGAACAAAATTGGAGTCATGGAAGAAGTCAACAACTGCTTTAAAAAGTGAACAGAAACTTCTCAGGAGGTTTTCCTTTGATAGCCATGTAACTTCTGTGTGCAACAACAAATGCTTAAAATCTAGAGCCTTGGTCTTTGAAGACATGAAAATCCAATCATTGCCAGTACCCAAGGCATCTAATGTCTGATCTGGCTGGCGTGTGGCGCATCCAGACAAACCTTCATACTTTTAACTCCGACTTCAGACCACAAAATAAAACAAAACTATGCTTTCGTGTATATCTCTATTTTAATTTTATTCTTTATAAAGTATTTGTGTTACTTAAGTGTTCATGACTCAGATTTTGTCATACAGATTTTGAAAAATAAATGCTTCCTTGGTTCTAATGCCACCCTACCACCCCCCAAGTGGACAGTACTGCCTCTATGGGGGTAGTACTGCCCACTTTGGGAATCACTAGTCTAGATCAAACATTGGTCAGTTGTCATGATAACCAGAGATCATCTCATTTGTAGTTTTCCTATTGGAGTGGTTTTGGCATTAGAATATTGCTGATCATACTAAGCTCAGTGATATCACTTTCAGCTCAACCAAAACACTCGGGTGATACCCTTTTAACCCTTTGAGGGTCCGTCCCGTAGATCTACGGCTTTACGTTCAGGGTCCAAACCGTAGATCTACGTCATGAGCTCAGCTCACTCTGATAAACTGTGAGTGGTACATTTGGGCCTAGATATGAGAGAATACATCTATGTGGTATGTGTGCACCACATAAAACAGATCCTGCAGCACACTGTGTATAATGAGAGAGAAAAACTGAAATCATGATTTTTCGATTAAAACAGCGACTTTGCAGTGTTTATACGTATGTTTTTTATAGTTGTATTTGCGATTTCTTGGTCTTATTTGATAGAATGGAAGACATATTACAGAAATAAAGATGATTTTGATTGGTTTTAGCACTGGAAATGGCTTGAAACTGAGCTCAAAGTAGCAGAAATGTTAAATTTTTGCCGATATTCAAGAGTAAACAAACGACCTCACATGTCTAATACACGCCAGCTGGTGGGTCTAATATGCATTCACAAATATGGTGATGATATTTATACAATTATTACAGTATTGCATAACAGTAAATCTTCTATTTTTTGGTGTGAATAAAAATTCCTTATGTGAATAAAAAATCAAAATGGAATTTATTTGTAAAGCCTCAAAACGTAACTAATGAACAGAGGAAATGTTAGTTTAGTGCCAGGAATACCTACATTGTTTATTCTGGACCCTATTTTGAAATTGGAATATTTTGAACTTTGTGTAAAATTGGCCAAATTAACAATTTCCCATCACTTTAATTTGTAGTTGAAACAGTTGACTTGGCGATTTCTTGTGCTCAATCGATAGAATAGAAGTAATACTAGTGAAATAGCTAAGAATTTGGTTGACTGGAATAATGTAATTGGCCTAAAATGGGAGTCAAAGTCGGCAAAATCGCCAATTCGTAAATATCGCTGACACATCAAAATTCGCGAGAGCATAATTTCGTCAATTTTCCATCAAATTTCATACTTTTTGTTTTATTACCTTCACAAAAAGATTCTCTACCATTTCACAAGAAAAAATAACAAATTTTTTTTTTTGAAAATTCTTGGACACTGGGGCACCACTTCAGATTTGGGCCTTAGACCCTGAAGGGGTTAATGCAGTTCCTCAGGTAGGGATGCTGACCATATTTCCTTACATCTGTTGCCTCTCTTCACCTAGCAGTAATATTATATTTTTGTGATCGAGCCTCCGTCACTCTAGGAGTGATGGAGGCTTGATCGTTCATCTGTTAAGTACAGATAGATGCACTACATTGTTATACTCACTGAGCAGTAAGTAAGCACCTGGGTGTTAGCCGACTCTTGTGGTTGCTATCTTGGGGAGTTGTAATATATCTTAGACAGAATTGGGCTTTGAAATAAGCTGAGGTGATAGTTCTTAGCATGAAAATTCGACAGTATAAAAACAGTAGTTCTTTAGGCTCTTTCTTGCATTAGGTCAATTACATAAAACAAATTAAACAATTTTATAGTAATAAAGTGGAGTACAGTATACAGTTGACATTGGAGTAATTGACATGTTTCAAACACTTTATAGAAAGCCCCTTGTTATGCAGACCATTTCTGGCAGCCTTAAATTAACCTACAGTTACCAGACAGTAAGACAAATATACAGGAAGGCCCCGCTTATACAGCAGTGAGATTCCGGGCTACTGCTGTAAAGCGAAATTCTCCATAAAGTGACACATTGTCTTTTTTTCACTTTCATGTTAACATAATTTGGTAATAAGTAATACATATTTTATGGAAAAGAGGATAAATAAATATACAAGGTATGATGTAGCACGTAATGAAAGTAGTTTATTAGATTATGTATTGGTGGATAAAAGGTTGATGGGTAGGCTCCAGGATGTACACGTTTATAGAGGGGTAACTGATATATCGGATCATTATTTAGTTGTAGCTACAGTTAGAGTAAGAGGTAGATGGGAAAAGAGGAAGGTGGCAACAACAAGTAAGAGGGAGGTGAAAGTGTATAAACTAAGGGAGGAGGAAGTTCGGGTGAAATTTTTTTTTTTTTTTTTTTTTATCACACTGGCCGATTCCCACCAAGGCAGGGTGGCCCGAAAAAGAAAAACTTTCACCATCATTCACTCCATCACTGTCTTGCCAGAAGGGTGCTTTACACTTCAGTTTTTAAACTGCAACATTAACACCCCTCCTTCAGAGTGCAGGCACTGTACTTCCCATCTCCAGGACTCAAGTCCGGCCTGCCGGTTTCCCTGAACCCCTTCATAAATGTTACTTTGCTCACACTCCAACAGCACGTCAAGTATTAAAAACCATTTGTCTCCATTCACTCCTATCAAACACGCTCACGCATGCCTGCTGGAAGTCCAAGCCCCTCGCACACAAAACCTCCTTTACCCCCTCCCTCCAACCTTTCCTAGGCCGACCCCTACCCCGCCTTCCTTCCACTACAGACTGATACACTCTTGAAGTTATTCTGTTTTCGCTCCATTCTCTCTACATGTCCGAACCACCTCAACAACCCTTCCTCAGCCCTCTGGACAACAGTTTTGGTAATCCCGCACCTCCTCCTAACTTCCAAACTACGAATTCTCTGCATTATATTCACACCACACATTGCTCTCAGACATGAACATCTCCACTGCCTCCAGCCTTCTCCTCGCTGCAACATTCATCACCCATGCTTCACACCCATATAAGAGCGTTGGTAAAACTATACTCTCGTACATTCCTCTCTTTGCCTCCAAGGACAAAGTTCTTTGTCTCCACAGACTCCTAAGTGCAACCACTCACCCTTTTCCCCTCATCAATTCTATGATTCACCTCATCTTTCATAGACCCATCCGCTGACACGTCCACTCCCAGATATCTGAATACATTCACCTCCTCCATACTCTCTCCCTCCAATCTGATATCCAATCTTTCATCACCTAATCTTTTTGTTATCCTCATAACCTTACTCTTTCCTGTATTCACTTTCAATTTTCTTCTTTTGCACACCCTACCAAATTCATCCACCAATCTCTGCAACTTCTCTTCAGAATCTCCCAAGAGCACAGTGTCATCAGCAAAGACCAACTGTGACAACTCCCACTTTATGTGTGATTCTTTATCTTTTAACTCCACGCCTCTTGCCAAGACCCTCGCATTTACTTCTCTTACAACCCCATCTATAAATATAT